AATGTAAGTCTAAAAAACTAAGTTAGAACCAGGACCCAAAGAACTTTGCATATCATGCTAGGAATTTTGTCTTTCTCTAAAATGCAATCCACTTAAAGGTTTTTAATTGAAAATGAAGCCATTACCGTGTGTCACAGTGAGTAAGGGCAGGTGGTAACACCATTAAAAATAATAACAGCTTAAATATGGCGGGGTTTATTTCTCCCTCTGATAATATGAAGTCCTGAGGTAGGCAGTCACAGCTCGTTTGGGGACTGTGCAGTATCACTGGGAACTCCAATGCCTCTGTCTCTCAGCTCAACTATTCTTAGTTTGTGATTTATATCTTCACCCTCATGGTCACATTGTACCTGCCAAAGCTCCAGCCATCATGCCATGTTGTAGGCATGAAGGAAGAATTGTAAAGGAAAAAAAGTTGTACCTCTGAGCTCCTTTTAAATTATGTTCCTATAAATATCCATCTGTCTGCTTAGTGTAATTTACAATTGGCAACTTCATGTGCAGGGGGTACTGAAAAATGAAAAAAAAATTTTTAAGGCTCTATTGCTACTCCTCTAACTATTAATGTAGGGTCTATTGCCAAGGAAGAAAGGGAAAATGGATATTGGGTGGGAAACTTGGGGTCTCTACTATAATTAGATTTGTTTGTTAGAAAGATAATTACAGTTACAACATGGATGTTGGGTTCCAGTAAAGACACTGAAGTAGATAGACTAGTATGAGACTATTTCGTTATTTGTGGCAAGAGAGGTCCAGCTGCTAAATTAAAGCACTGTACTGGATGTGGAGGGAAGTGGTAGTATATTCAGGAGATGTAATCAGTAGATTTCAGTTACAATCAGTGGAAAGTGCCAAGGGTCCAGGTGGAGAACAGTGCCCTAGGATTTTGCAGAGAGCCTCACACGTTTTTAGACATTTTTACAGAATTAATGATTTTGGCAGATGGTCATATTAATCAGGGTTATGGATGAATCAGATTACAAGTGTGAATGATCATTAAGTTTTAAATGTATTGATTTTGAGCCTCCTTTGGCTTGTCCAAATGGAGAAATCAAATCAGCAACTAGAAATGTGGGTCTGAAACTTAAGAACAAGATACAGAATAGAGATGTATATATTTAAGAGTCACTAATGAATGGATATATAGTTGATAAATGAAGCCATGGGAAAGATAAACTAAACAACAGGATATAGACCATAGATTGAGGGTAGGGCCTAAAATAGAATCTTAACACATACCAGTGTATACTGTAGGTAGAGCAAGAAAAACCAAAAAATGGATTTTGAGAAGTCATTGTCAAAATTAAAATATATATGTAAAACCTTGGTTTGTGAGCATAATTTGTTCCGGACACATGCTTATAAACCAAAGCACTCATATGCCAAAGTGAATTTCAAGAACCATTGGCTCAGTTCTGATCATGTGACATTTGGCATCACTCCTTTGTCTTACAACGAGTTGCAACAAGTGCAAGCCACTCATTTATCTAGTTAAAATTTATTAGAGAAATTTCATCTTGCGGAACACTCACAGAACAAGTTCCCTGCAATCCAAAGTTTTACTGTATTTACATTTGCTTGTATTTGCATAAAGAAACAGTGAAAGAATATACAAGTGACCAAGGAGAGCAAGACTTCCAAATGTATCATGTATATTTTTCACTTCTGAGTATGAATATGTCACCTATGCAAAATGTCAAAATAATTTTTTTTTAACGTTTATTTATTTTTGAGGCAGAGAGAGACAGATCATGAACGGGGGAGGGTCAGAGAAAGAGGGAGACACAGAATCTGAAACAGGCTCCAGGCTCTGAGTGGTCAGCACAGAGCCCAATGCGGGGCTCGAACTCACGGACCGTGAGATCATGACCTGAGCCGAAGTTGGACGCTTAACCGACTGAGCCACCCAGGCGCCCCTGTCAAAATAAAATTTTAAGAAAAGCCAGTGCTATCAGTGAAGAGCAAGAACAAAGCTATGAAAGACTACTACTTAATTGACTGTTAGTTCACTTTATTCCCAAACCCTGAAGGCTAACCGCAAGCTCACCAGGAAGCCTGGTGGTCGGCTCTTCCCCGTGCTACAAAGAAGGTCAGCAGGCTGGGGGTTTGAATGAGGTCAGAAAACCGTTGGAGTGAGCATATTAGGGTAGAAGAACTGGAAAAACCAGAGCTCCTGGGCTAAATGAAGGAATGCAGCTGTGGTCTGCAGTAAGACTTGAAAAATAACAGGCTTCCAGTATCCCCAGCGCATGAGGGGTGGTAACCAGGAGTCGTTAGATTAACAGCAACAAGAAGCAGTCATGGGTGGTCGTACACTGATCTAAGGTAGTTTTCATTTTCTGAAGTATAACTGACATATAATATCCTATTCATTTCAGGCATGCATCATTGTGATTCTTTATTTTTATACATTATTAAATGATCCTGACAATAAGTCTAGTTCCATCTGTCACCACACAAAATTCTAACAGCGTCACTGACTATTCTCCCTCTGCTGTACATAACATCCTCATGACTTACTTATTTTACAACTGGATGTCTATACCTCTTAATCCAACCCCCCAACCTATCTCACACTTCACCAGCCCCTCAACCTTTGCCCTCCCTAGTAACAGTTTGTTTCCTCTCTCTGTGAGTCTGTTTGTTTTGTTCACTTGGTTTGTTCTGTTTAGATTCCACATGTAAGTGACATCATACAGTATTTGTCCACTGTCTGACTTATTTCGCTTAGCATAATGCTCTCTAGGTCCATTACATTGTCTCAAATGGAAAGATTTCATTCTTTTTTGATGGCTAAATAATATTCCATAATGTATATATACCACATCTTCTTTTTTCTTGAAATTTTTTAACATTTATTTATTTTTTTTTTAATTTTTTTTTTCAACGTTTATTTATTTTTGGGACAGAGAGAGACAGAGCATGAACGGGGAAGGGGCAGAGAGAGAGGGAGACACAGAATCGGAAACAGGCTCCAGGCTCCAAGCCATCAGCCCAGAGCCTGACGCGGGGCTCGAACTCACGGACTGCGAGATCGTGACCTGGCTGAAGTCCGACGCTTAACCGACTGCGCCACCCAGGCGCCCCTAACATTTATTTATTTCTGAGAGACAGAGCATGAATGGGGCAGGGGCACAGAGAGGGAGACACAATCCGAAGCAGGCTCCAGACTCCTAGCTGTCAGCACAGAGCCCAATGCGGGACTCAAACTCACCGAACTGTAAGATCATGACCTGAGCTGAAGTCAGACATTTAACCAACTGAGCCACTCAGGAGCCCCAGTATACCATATCTTCTTTATCCATTCATCTATCAGTGGACACAGGTTGCTCCCATTTCCTGGCTGTTGTAAATAATGCTGGGGTGAACATACAGGTACATCTGTGTCTTCGATGTAATGTCTTTGTTGACCTGAGTTAGCATTAAAATTAGTGTTTAGGCTCTCTTTGATAGGCATCAAGTGGTGAAGGTTAATAAAAGCAAGTCTCAGACTCTAATCTTGTATGACTAGACACAGAACATTCATACAGCTTGTTCAGTGAGCTGAATAAAGTCCCAGCTTTCTGTCCTTGTAGGTACTCTAACTATACCTTCTATGAGAGGTCTGCCGAGATACACACAGCCACATTCCAGAGACAGAACTGTGCCATCTGGCATTGGACATTGAGAAATGTTCCTGTATTAACGGTCAGACACAAGGCTGAGTAGACATCAAGACTCAGAGATCATCGATAGGGTAAAGGATATAGACCTCCCTGCATTCTTATTCCCTGTTCATGTAAAGGTAGGGAGTGATTAAAATATATTTATGAAAAACCCTGAAAACATACAGGGTTTTTAAAGGAGAAGGAGGAAAGACAGTTTGGAGGTGTCTGTAGAGAGCTAGAAAGTCAGCTACCCTACCTCCAGGCCTTGAGTTTTCTGTAGTATGTGATGCAAAATAATGCCTCCATTTAAGCAGGTGAGTTTCCATTTAAGACAGCTGAGTTTCAACTTGACCACATAAGTGAAAGGGTATTTTGAGAAGTAGGAGGGGTTGAGTACGTTGAGACCAACGTGCCCAGCAAAAGGGCTTTGCAAAGTGGCTACTACGCACGCAAAGTAGAGTTGGGTAAGAGGTACTGTGTAGCGTGTCAACGAACGTCCACATGGTCTATGACCTCGAACAAGATACTTACCTTCTCTATGCCTCAGTTTCCTCCATTGCAAAATGGAGATTCAAAGAGCATCTGCCTCACAGGCTGTAGTGAGGATTACATTTGTTACAACATGCTCAAAAATAATGTCTGTAATGGTAAGTGCTCAGTAAACATCAGCTGGTGTTTTTATACCTTCCCCTTTTCTTCATAAGAATATTAATAAATTTTGTCAGAAATGTATGGAGTCATGAGATCAAATACAGTGTGGTTTGCATGCCAGGATGAAGGGCCTGAACATTTCTCAGTTTTTTTTCCAGATAAATATTCTTAAAATTGGTGACGTGAATTTTGAGGTCACAGTTTCTCTTTGGGTAATTAAATATCTAAATTTAAAATATTTACACTATTCTAAAAAATATTTTCTTTTTTCAAAAGTTTTAAAGTATTTATTGGGGCGCCTGGGTGGCTCAGTCGGTTGAGCGGCCGGCTTCAGCTCAGGTCATGATCTCACAGTTCGTGAGTTCGAGCCCCGCGTTGGGCTCCGTGCTAACAGCTCGGAGCCTGGAGCCTGTTTCAGATTCTGTCTCCCTCTCTCTGACCCTCCCCCGTTCATGCTCTGTCTCTCTCTGTCTCAAAAATAAATAAAAACGTTAAAAAAATAAATAAATAAAAGAGTTGCTTAAATAAATAAATAAATAAATAAATAAATAAATAAATAAATAAATAAA